AATACTTAGCATCAAGGAGATCTTAAAAAAATTGATTTAACAAAAAACGATCCATTTCAGGGGAAAAGCATCTAAGTCAGGGGGTATATCACATGAATATACTATTGACAAGGGGTGATCATTCCGAGATTCAATCAACTTGGATCAAGTTTCAAAGCATTGTTCAATCAGGGGAATACCTTTCAAAGGAGCATTCCTTAATCAAGTCATATCACAACAGGGTATGACTCGGTTTCCTCATTTTAACAAACTTCTCAAGGCCTTGATAATCAGGGACAACCTTCCAAGATTCAAATGTTGGGGCAGTACATACCAAGATCATCCTACTGCACGTAGGATCCAAATTCCCCTTCAAGCAACTTCAAGTGCAAACTTTTCAAGCTTTGAATACTTGGGGAAATCTATATCAAGTTCATGGTAAGGTCTAAGTTCTTTCTGAGGGTACTTCCTCCATATCCTGGAGATTGAGGGGCTTGTCTTTCAAAATTTTAATGTTGGGGCAAACCACTGCGAGGCTCGATCAAAAGGAGTTGATCCAAAATGGTTCATCAAAGCCAAACATTTCAAGAATTTTTTAATCAGGGGCATAGTACAAAATAGTGGGGTCATTCATATTATGATCAAACTATTTCGAAGCTCATATCAATGAGAAACTCCTCCAAGACCCTACCAACAAATTAGGGAAAGACAATCCATATAGGGGAAAGCTCTCCACGTGCTCTCATAATCTCCGATGGATCTTTCTCATACATAAGCAATCTTCAAGTTCAAATCGAGTATCAGGATATCATGATAGCATAACATTCAACCATCACATGACAAGAAACCTAGTTGCATAAGAAAACCTCTACGCTTTAATCATCCATGATCCATCACAGGGGCACCATTCAAAAAGCATTCAAATCATAATCATAAAGCATAAGGTTGTATAAATCATGCATTGGGGCTCTTCGATCCAGAATCAAGCTATACTTATCATCTCATCCATTTGACAACTTTCGATATCATGGATCTAACAAAGAGCCCAATTCTCATTGGCACATCAAAATTTCAACATCCATTGACGCATATCCAAGTCATCCATTATATGCATTGGCCAGTCATTATATGCGTTAGCGCATGCATCTGCATGCATACATGACATATCATAGAACGAGACTTAACACCTCGTAAAAATCTAGAGTCAATTTCTAGGGGAGTCACTATTATGATCTCTAACATCTCTCAGACTATCCCTCTCAATGAGTCTATGATACAAGCGTTCTTCGTCAAACTAAGGCGTGAGTAGCCTCACACAACCTCTTTTCTTTGTCCATACGTAAGCAACTTATGTAAAAGTCGTGAGCAGCCTCACACTTTCCAAATCATCAAATTAATGTCTCTAGGTAACTTTACCAATGTTAGCGACCTTGCTACCTGTTTCACCTTTGCAAGCCACCAAGATGACACTATTCTAATAGTCCTACTAACGTTGGTGTAAAGCCCAGTTCCCGCCTGTCTAACTTTTTAAAAGCCCAACCCCTAATTGGCATGGCTTCTCAGAAAAAAATAGTTCTTGGCTGATAGCCTGCCTTAAACATTGGTTCCGTGGTTCAAATAACAGGGGCATTGCATTTATCAACTATTGCATAATTTCAATTCATAAAATTATCATGTTAAGCATACATACCATGCATCATGCATGCATTAAGCATAATCATATCAAACATCCATACATGCATTATAATCATATATGCTCATGAAAAACTGCGGAAAAATCTCAAGCCATGACTACCAGCTAAGAAGAGCTCAAATTCAAATCCAAGCTCAACATTATTCATTTATCTTGCTATAGCTACATCGGTTGAGAACGGATACAACCATTAAAGGTACCGCTATCAAAATTTCACTAGGCAGTTTACCTATGATTCATATCCAAGGCCTAGTCATCACCAGCCTCATGGCATTACACTTGTAATTATCAAATTCAAACTTTTCAAGTTCGAACCTCTAAAAAACATTCAATTCCATTTGGTTATCATGTTAATCAAGCCTCGGTTGAGAATATACACAACCGACTTCATCAGTGAATTTGGGGTTCATTTTTTCATGTTGATAGCCTTGGTTGAGAATAGACACAATCGATATCATCAACGAAACTTCAGATTCAATCTTCAAACCTAGCATTTTTATGCTAAACAATTACCTTGGTTGAAAACAGATAACCAGTAAAAATCCGATCTCATCTCTGATTTAGTTATCTAAGATTTGATCATCAAAACAACTTCCTCTGCAATTTAACTCATTGCGTCAGGCTCCATGCAACAATGTGTTTTCCTTCTTTGTGATCTAGTTCATTGTGTCAGGCTCCATGCAACAATGTGCGAAATCCATAATTTAACTCATTGCGTAAGGCTTCATGCAGCAATGTGTTTCCTCCTCTGCAATCTAGCTCATTGTGTCAGACTCCATGCAGTAATGTGTGAAATATGCAATTTTACTCATTGCGTCAGTCTCCATGTAACAATATGTTTCCTTCTTTGCAATATAGATCATTGTGTCAGGCTCCATGCAACAATGTATGAAATATGCAATTCAACCCACTGCGCCAGTCTTCATGCAACGATGTTATTATCAAACTTTTTCCATTGCGTCAGTCTTCATGCAGTAATATGTTTCCTTCTTTGGGATATAATTCATTGTGTCAGGCTCCATGCAACAATGTTTGAAATCTGCACTATAACCCATTGCGTCATTCTCCACACAGTGATGTGTTTCCTTATCTACAATATAATCCATTACATCAGTCTCCATGCAACAATGTGTTCCTTCCGCTGTGATATAGTTCATTGCGTCAGTATCCATGTAGCGATGTATTTCTTTATCTATAATATAATCCATTGCATTAGTCTTCATGCAGCAATATGCGAAATATGCAATTCAATCCATCATGTCGGTCTCCATGCAACAATGTTATTATCAAACTTTTTCCATTGCATCAGTCTCCATGCCACAATGTTATTATCAAACCTTTTCCATTGCATCAGTCTCCATGCAACAATGTTGTTATCAAAAATTTTCTACGATATAATCCATTGCATCAGTCTCCAGGTAGCAATGTCATTATCAAGTTTCTTCCTCGATATAGCTCATTACCTCAGTCTCTACGCAACAATTTAGTTATCAAGCTTTTTTAATTATCTATCCCCTAGGTTGCGATAGATATGTAGATAAATATGCGTAATCCATTTCATCAGTCTCCATGCAGCAATGTGTTATCAGACTTTAATTTAGTCATCTCCTAGGTTGCGATGAATAGAAAAAATCAAATCAAACCAAAACTTACCATATTAGTCCCCAAGCATTAGTAAGTCAACTTTTCAAACTTGTATCATTTACCTCCTAGGTTACGGTAAATATGCAAATTTTTGCAATCTCTTTTAGATACTGACGAGTCATCCGCGTCGTCATGACTAAATCAGATCAACTTTAGTTCAAACGCTGGTAAGATGATACATCATCATATATGCCTATTCGTCGCACTCATAAGAACGTCGTACAACGTATCCTTATCAAGCAAACCTTTGGTTAAATTTTGGGGTCTTCCATTATTTAATAACCCTCTGATTCGAACACATGACACCTGCATATTCTCGCACCATTCAATCGAAGTGTGATTAAATAGGAGCAGCTGTCATACCCCAAATTTGCCTATCCTTTATTTCTATGGTCAAAAAATACTTTCAAAATGTTGGTTTTATAATATTCTTTGATTTTTATAAATATTCGCTTCCCAACCTATTTAAAAATATATTAATTTATTCCAAATTATTTATATTTTTAAAATAGCAAATATCTGCACACCTTTCATATACTTTCAAATTGAGTTTATTTACAAATCAGTAACATAACACAATTGATAAAGAATGGAGCTTGCAAGCGTAAGGTCACGAGTTCGAATTTCTTGTGTTGCATTTTCTACATTTTATTTTTTTCTACCTTTTCTCACTAATTTTCTTTCCTTTTTTGGAAATCAAACTTTGGACTTTCTTTTGAGCTTTTGGATAACTTATTCTCTAAGTTTTTTTAAAACTTAATTCACTATATAAATAGGATCTTAGTTTATCCTAATTTTTCATTCAGAATTTCTACACAATTCATAAACAATCATTCACAATTTCCACATTATCCACAATTCTTTAACAAATTCATCAACAATTATTTAACAATTTTTTATTATCTCTTAGAATTCTTGTTTTTTTGATTTATTGTACTGTTGTTGACTATATCAGACAACAACCCCAAGATTTCTTTTCAAACTAATTGGTGTTAATATTTATTCTTGGTCAATGATTAAATATATTTCACTTTTTTTTAATTGATTTATTGTTATAAACCAGATGATGATTCTCTGATGGTCCCTGTTTTAAATTCTATTCTATATTTTTTCGTGAAAATTCTCATATGTTCATTTTGTTCTTAATTCTTGTTGAAAGAAAATATTTGCAAATGAATATAAAATTTCAGTCACCAATTTACACATTCACTATATATTCACTGTACTGTTCATATTTTCACACATTCATGATATCCTTACACAATTTCTAACCAGCACATAAATACACAAGGTCTCACTAATCTCTACACACTTTTTTTAACATAACCTTGGTTTATTCCTCTAGTCAAAGGTCAAACCATATCAATTTACACAAAAAAAACAATAAGTATATTCTCTGTATATGAATTTCTTCCCATTGTTTTCTTCACAATATCGCCAACCTGTTATCAAAATGTAACAACAATACTAACACCCCATAATCTGCAGTAACAAATCATTAACAATTCACAGTAATAAAAACCAGATCGAAGAAAAATAAGGAGAATAAGAGAGTTGCAAGATCCTTCGACATCGACACTGCGAATACACTCTGCAATATATCTCCGCCACTGTTGCATCTCGATGAAAACGCTCTGACGATACATTAATCCCTTTGACGCAGTGATTTCCTCACACAGTCACAATGACTTCCATCGACGCCACTACGATTCTGACAACCTCCGAACGATCTAAACACAACCGCGATCAACCGACTTATGTCCGCCCTCCGACGCACACCATCCGCAAACGCAGATCTGACGATAACCAATTTGAATCTCCACGTAGACACTGCGACTCCCTCCTCCTCACGACCGGGAGATCTTCCGCCGTGAGACCTCAACCGTCACACTCAACCCACCTCCAGCCTCCACTATCATCGCAGCCTCACTTGACTTCATGGCCGTCATCGGACTTCAGAACCACTGGTTTTGTCTATTTTGAGGAAGAGATGAACGAACAGTTTTTGATTGTTTTGTGTGAAAGCAGAGAAGAAGTACAGAGAGAGAAAGAAGAGTTTTTCTGTTTTGCTACTTATTGCTAATATGTTTAATGTTTTGTTTTATTTTTTTACAATATAAATCCTACCAAGTGTCGAGGAATTATTGGCCAGGAAATTTTAAAGAGACAAAAGAAATTGGAATAGTGTTTGCACCACCAGGTTCATGTTTTTGATTATTATGTTCTTATGTTTTCTATTTTGTCTATTTAAAATATATTTATTTAGTTAATACAATTAAGGTTTGGTGGTAATGTTTGGGCCTCTTTTTTTTGGGCTTGTAACTATAGTATTTTATCTATACTGCGTCCTATTTTAATTTTACACCCATTAAGTTAACGAGTCCATTATCTTTTATTTATTTTAATCATTCTATCTAATTTAATTAGTTTATTTACTTTAATTAATTTAATTAATTTGATTTTGATTTAGTTCTTTTTCTCTTAATTGTTATTAGAAAATACTAAAGATCGCAAAATTAATCATATGTACAAAACTCAAAAATTAAGCAATTTTCACAATTAACTAATTCGAACATTCTATAAATAATAAGATTTACATCTTCGAGTAATTAAATCGGTCGACATATCGTCTACCGGTTTATTATTAAAAAAATCAAACAATTAAGATCCATGCAAACTCACCAAAATCATCAACCGCGGATGACACGTGGCCAATATATGGCCACATGATAAGGAAACTATATCAGACTTCTCTCGCTCTACATTTTAAAATAGCTAACCAACATCAAAATATTTTTCAACTAACATAAAACTAGAAGATTATTTTAAAAAAAAGGATTAAATAGCATTGCCTTCGAATTAAAATGCGAACTATATCTATGATCACTCAACTTACAACCCAGACAAGGTTCAAGGTTAACTCAAAAGCAGTTATACACAATCCTCTAAAAAACACCAACCAAACTGCAAACTACGAATTGGGACTCTGATTCCTCCTAAGAGGATACGTAGGCATACGACTAAAATCGTGGCGAGTTCCCCTAATAAAATACTAAAAACCCTATTACCTAAAGATTAATTCTAAACCTAGTATCCTTGTGAACAAGGTAGATGAGGGGTGCCTAAAACCTTCTCTTCGTCTAAAATTGAGTAAAAAAACCTAGAATATCTAACTTTTCAGGGTTATCCTTTATATTCCCTTTCTTAGGATAAAAATTAAGGGCGACGACTCTCAAATTTTAAAACCAAATACAACAACAAGAATGAAGGAGGACCCTTGTTTGTACTAACTTGCTATCAATACGGAAAAAATGGAATATAAATCTAACTTGCCTTCCGAACCAGATAAAAAAACAGAACCAAAATCAAAACTAGAGAAAATTCATAAAACTTTAAAAATAAGCAAAGAAAGCATAAATAGCTTGGGATGACAATGACATGAAGTCTTCATATGAAGAAGAAGCAACCATATGTCTTATGGAAAAATCATAAAAATGGCAAGGAATGCTTTACAATATCGAACACTAAGTGGTAACTTGATAACGATTGTTCAAAGCATATGACTGGAAACAAATATATTTTTCTCTTCCTTAACTCCTAAAAGGAATTACTTGTCTCTTATGGTGATAACAACAAAGTAATTATTGATACAGGTACCATCGATAAATTTCCCAATCCAATAATTTGGTAAATTCTCATAGTTGATGGTTTAAAGCACAATATGTTAAATATTAGCCAATTACGTGACAAAGATAATGATGCGAATTTTGATTCTTATGAATAAAGGATTATAAAATCTAAGCCAATTCATTCTCTTTTTACTAGTTCTAAAAGTGGGAATATTTACATTGTGACCCTTAATAAAACCTCTTCAAATGATGTATGTCTTTTGAGTAATAAAGATGAATCTTACTAATGGATTAGGTGAGTATCTCATATCCACATGAATCATTTGAATAAATTGGTCCACAAGGATTGAGTAATAGGTTTTCCAAACTTGCATTTTTAAAAGCCAGAGTTATGTGATGCTAGCCAAAAGATTAAACAAGTAAACACCTCTTTTAAATATAAAAATGTCCTTTCTATAAATAGGCATTTACATATATTGCATGTGAAATTTTTTGACCGATCCATAACCATGAGTTTTAGCGAGAACTACCATGCCCTTGTAGTTGTGGGTGATTACTCTCACTATATATGGATGATTTTCTTATCTCATAAAAGAGTTATGTTTGCAGCCTTTCAGAAATTAACCAAGGTTATCTAGAATAAGAAAAGGCTATATATATATATATATATATATATATATATATATATATATATATATATATATATATATATATATATATATATATATATATATATATATATATATACACACACACACACACACACATACGAAGAGGCCACAGAGGTGAATTTAAAAATATTGAATTTGAGAATTTTTGTAAAGAGAATGGAATTGAGCACATCTTTTATGCTCTACGAACTCCCCGAAAAATGGGGGTAGTGTACCATAAAAATATGTATCTCTAAGAGCAAGCGAGGACTATGCTCAATGTGACTAACTTTCCTATGTAATTTTCGCATGATGCATTAAGCACTACTTGCTATGTTATCATTTATTTCTAAAGTAGACATCCTATGAGTTATACAAAGGAAGGAAGACTAATATTTATCACCTTTATATGTTTAGATTCAAATTTTTTATTTTCAATAACGGGAAGGATAATCTTGGAAAATTTGACACTAAAGTTGTTGCATGCCTATTTTTGGATATTCTACTTCTAGTAAAGCTTTTAGAATTTTCAGTAAAAGAACCTTGTCTATAGAATAATGAGTTCATATTACCTTTAATGAGTCAAATCCCAAGTCGGTAGAGGAATGTGTGGTTAATTGTGTAGGTATCTTGAAGAAAAGTCTCTAGAAGACATGGATCATAATAAATATCAAGAAAAAGATCAACGTCAAATAGAAGATCATTTAAATGAACAATCCAGATTTAATCATCAGGAACTCCCAAAATGATTGAGGACCACAAAAGATCATCGAATCTAGAATGTCACTGAAGATATTTCTAATGGGGTCATAATACGACACCCCCTTAATCAAGTATGTATTCTTATGCCATTTGTTTCCCAAATTTAGCCAAAGGACGTCAATGAGGCTCTCATAGACGAACATAGGCTTATTTCTATGAAAGAATAGTTAAATCAATTTGAAAGAAACAATGTTTGGGAACTTGTTCCTTAACATTCATCTAAGATAGTGATTGGAACCAAATGGGCCAGTTGCAACAAAGTTTGACGAAGATGGAAATGTTTTAAGAAATAAAACAAGAGTAGTTGCAAAAGGATACAACCAATACAAAATCATAGATTTTAGCAGAAACCCATGCTCTTATAGATATATTAGAAGTCATAAGGATTCTCTTAGCTTTCTCGTGCGTTTTAGGTTTTAAACTATTCAAAATGGACGTAAAGAGCGTGTTCTTGAATGGTTACATCCAAGAAGAAGTGCAAGTTGATCAACCTCCCGAATTTTTAAATTCCTCTTTTCTTGATCATGTCTTTAAAATAAATTTCAAAGAGGAAAGGTTGGCACAACTCTCTTTATCAATAAAATCGATCATGGAATTTTTCTGTGCAAATTTATGTTGATGGCATCATATTCGGTGCTAATAACGAAACCTTGTGCAAGGAATTTTCTGCTTTGATGAATAATAAGTTTGAAATGATACTTCCTTGGATTGAAAATTCACCAATCAAATGACGAAATATTCATCATGGTTAAAGAAAGTCCAATTTCAACTTCGATGATTACATCATGCAATTTAGATAAATACGAAGAAGGAAAAGTAGTAGAAGAAATCAAATATTGAGATATGATAGGCTCTATCCTTTATATCATTGCATCACATATTATTATCATGTTTATTGTATATTTATGTGCACATTTTAAAGTAAACCTAAAAGAATCACATCTCATTACGGTCAAACACTTTATAAGGTATCTCATTAGCACACCACTTAATTGTTTATGGTACCTCAAAGGGACATGTTATACTTAAATTGGATATTATGATTCTTATTTCTCTACTTGTAAATTGGATTAGAAAATAAGCAACGATACATACGTTTTCTTGAAAACTTGACCGTCTCTTGGCCTATAAAGAAACAATAAAGTATTGCATTATCCATATATGAAGTAGAATCCATCGATGGAGGTAGTTATTATGCCCAAGTTATATATGTCGTGAATAACGACAAGGTTCAATTTCAATATGCAAGACAAAGAACAATTGCAACCAAAATAAATGGACCACAACAATAATAATCAATACACAGAAGATATAACAGAATAAGGTGAGAAAAAGTTGAAAGGTTTGTTTATATAGTTCGATTAAACGATCTATTATGGCGGAGAGAGCAGCTCTCCAATTTACTATACTCAGAAAGTTGTTATAAGAGATTACAGATGAGTTATAAAAAAATAGCTTGTGCCTTCAGGTTCCCAAGAACAACCCTGAAAGTATCCAAGAACAACCCTATTTTCTACCCAAGTTTTTCTCAACCTCTCCAACACTCAATATATGAATAAATCAAATACAAGGTGTAACCAGTGTTTCTCATTAACCTTAAACAACTCCAAAGATTTTCCTAAACCTTTGTCTTTCTAAGGTTTCGCTTGAGAAAACCCTAAACCTTCTCTCTAGCCTTTTTCTGTAAACTCTAAGATTCACCCCCTTTAAACACGTGTATATATATATATATATATATATATATATATATATATATATATATATATATATATATATATATATATATATATATATAGCTAAAACCCAAGTCCAAAAACACAACCCATTAATTATTGGAATAAAATATTATAAATATCATAATATATTTTGTATTAATTTAGACTATATATATATATATATATATATATATATATATATATATATATATATATATATATATATATATATATATATATATATATATATATATATATATATATATATATATATATATATATATATATATATATATCCAATATTCTAACTTTAAACAACGCGGACCG